TATAATAACATATTGTTTTTGTGATTAATCACTATGCTTTAATTATGTTCAATTTGTAACAATGAAAATACATCCTGCATATCAGATATTTACGTTATGATTCATAACAGTAGCAACATTACAGTTATGAAGTAGCAACGAAAATAATTTTATGGTTGGGGGTCACCACAACATGAGGAGCTGCGTTAAAGGGTCACGGCATTAGGGAGGTTGAGAACCACTGTGCTAGAGGCTCGATGCATGAAATTCGTGCAAGGGGCTCGGCCCCCCCACCACGGCAGTTTCATCCAGAAAGTCATCTGGAAGGACGTCCAGTCTAATTAGCACATTACACCTTTATGATTATAGATGCTAATTATTCGTAGGGAACATGCCAGCAGTAACAGGGAACCCCAAGGCTCCCTCCCCTGGGCCGCCCCTCACCTGCTACCAGACCACTCCCTCGGTTTTCCTCCTCCTTCCCTGGGCGTCCTTGTCCACAGCCGCGTGTCGCCCTGCTATGCGCTAGTACCTGACGCCGTCGAGCTCACGTGCCCATGTCACCCCTGGACAGCACATCCAGTGGGAGGACGGCAACCGAATGAAATGTCATCATGTCACTATGAATGAGCAATGTGTCTGGGAATACTGTGCATGCGGCATTATGCACGTGCTTTCTATACCCCCTACTCCCTCCGCCTCAGTGTGTAGGACCCGCCGTTATCACAGTGACCCACAGAGAGACTCCAGCTGCGGGGGTCAGTGCCGGCCCAGAGGACGCCCCAGGGTGGCTCAGCCCCATGGGCGGCACCACTCAGCTGGCTCCTGCTGGCGGTTCATCAGGTAGCGCTGCCTCCTGCAGATTCATCGCCTGCTCTCACCACACTCACAGCGTAGCTGTTCTTCTCCGACAGCATGACTGTGCGACGTGATGTCACACTGAAACTCTTCTACACACCACGTGCTTCCTCAAACGCTCATCTCCCAAGTCAGAATTTACCATCGCCTCACTAATCGTCGGATGAATCTGTCTGCAATTTGCTTGGACCTGAGTTGAATGTTTACTGATATCAATCCTCTTACAGCGAAAGACATGCCCGAAGCCACAACGCAGGAGGTTTTACTTTCCTACAGGTACTTCCCTTATGATTACGCTACTCCCTGCACATTCCCGAGAATTTGGGAAAAACCTAAAAATGATCAGGAAGAAAATAAAAGTGCCGCCTGGATAACCCCCACAGTGTCTCCTCCCCAGCTGTGTCCGCTAACGCCCTGACTACTGCCCCTCAGCAACCCGCATGTGCCCTGCCGGCCTCAACTGTGACCTCCTGGCTGTGAGCTGGGCGCCCACCCTGGGCCACGTGCCGGTCCAATGGCACTTCCAATGTAAACGTGTCTCCTCTTCCCC